ACGTCAAATAAAGTTTAAGTAGAGAGAGAGAGGATTTCATGTCAAATGAAAGTCTAGAGAGAGAGAGGATTTCATGTCAAGAGAAAGTTTAGAGAGAGAGAGAGGATTTCATGTCAAATGAGAGTCTCTAGAGAGAGAGGATTTCATGTCAAGAGAAAGTTTAGAGAGAGAGAGAGGATTTCATGTCAAAAGAAAGTTTAGAGAGAGAGGATTTGATGTCAAATGAACGTTTGGCATATTCGCCCACCCCACCTATGTCTTGTCGTCCATGGATGGAGAGAGAGTGAACGATGAAAGATATTTGGGTAGAGAGAGAGAACTTTAAGTATGATTGGGTTGCGTGCAGGAAAGATAAATATCAAGGACACGTGAGAGAGAGCAACTTGGATGTGAGGGAGAGAAGCTTGTGACAAGTGAGAGCGAAAGGGGAATGAGAGAGAGCAACCTAGCCACGGGCGGGCGTGGGCTGGGACACTCTTGGCCTTGATCAGGTCCTTAAAATAGGGGTGGCAATGGACCCAGACCCGACCTAGGTCCGAGTATGGATCCAAGAATTAGACCAGGCGAGGTAGGTATGAGTCCAAATATTGGAACGGGTTCATGTGGATCCGACCCGAATAGTATTATTATATGAATAATATTTAATATATATATATTTAATATTAATATTTAATAAACATAACTATATTTTTAATTATAATATTTAAAAAAGGATGCGGTTTCCATAAGGTTTCAAGTTTAAACAATCTAATTAAAGCGCACCTCCAAATTTTATCTTAACATGTAGTTTTGGTATAACAAATTCTTAGGATATCTGAAAATCTATTTTCATATATAATTATAAAATTTTAAAATCCAAAAATGGTTAAAATCAACTAGATCTATAAACATATGAAAATCTTAAAAATGGACGGTCTCGATAATGTGTTGCAAGATGCACTATTTTTGTTACTCAAAATCTTTATTCTTTTTCATATTCATATATCGCGATATCGAGGTGATCATTTTTCAACATTAAAACAACCTTTTTCGATGGATTTTTGAGGAGCATATTTAATTATACATTTTTCAGGTTGCAACTTTATATAAACTCTTTCTTTTAAATGATACATGTATATATTTAATATAACTTTTTGTTTTTTGGGTCGGGTCCAGGTTCGGGTCCGATAACTTCAAATCTGGTCAAGTCCAGGTCTAGGTTCCATAATGTTTTTTGGATTTGAGTCTGAGTTTGGCAGGACATAGACCCAACCTGACCCATTGTCACCCTTACCCAAGTTTGGCTCTAGCTTTATCGCTAGGCCAAGCTAAATGAAAAAAAAAAAGGAGGGCTCGACCGAGCCGGGGCCAAGCCTGGCCCTACCCTTGAATTGTGTTTGCCGAGCCCAACTCTTAGGCCACATTTCTTAGCCCAGACCCTAGTGGCCTGGCCCAGCCTGAACCTAGGCAAGTGAGGACATAGGAAAGAATTTTACAAGAGATGGAGAAAGAACGAGAAAAATGAAGAGAAAGAACCACTGTTGAAAAAACAGGGTGATCTAACCACTAACCGCCGGGTGTTCCAATTTTGGGTAGTTTTAGTGATCAACCGATATTTTTAAAAAAATTAAAAATAAAGAATTCATTTTGTAATGAATTTTTTAATATTATTTACATTATGGTAAAGATTAAAAAGTATTTTGGTCATTAATACTCACTTTAATTCAAAAAACGATTTGTGAAAATCTGTTTTTTTCATAAATTTTCAACTTCATTTGAATGTGTTTTGTTTTAATCATTCTTTATATGTTTTTCATATTTTAGTAGATTTTTTTTTGTATCTTTTTTATTTTTTTAAAACTTTTTTTACCGCCCGGGACTTGTCCGATTAGAACGGTTGAATCGGCCGGTTTATTGATTACGCCCATTAAACCACTTCCGTACCTATATCCGATTAACCATTCCAATTCGATTTTACGAATACGGAAAAGAACTACTTGGCAAGTGAGGGTACGGAGGGGATGAGAGAGAGAGAGAGCTGCTTTACAAGGCAGAGCATAAGAGGGAATAATGGGAGAGAGAGCAACTACTAAGGTAGGGCACATAAGGGGGCATATAATGAGAGAGAATGACATATAGTGAAGATTAAGTTTTTATGAGTCCTAGGCTTTATGAAAACAAAATAAACCTCACCTTAAATCTTCATTCAAAAAGTTCATTTCAGCAACGGAAATCTTCATGATAGCTCTAACATTAATTTCTAATACCAACAATGAAATTCAAAACTCAAAGAATGGTATCGATCTTGCGGATCTATGAACACTTATTTTTAGGGCGAAACTAACGTTCTAGACAATTTGTTATAATAACCATTTTTTTAGAGCTTGAAATCCTATTTTTTTCACAACGATAATGTTCAAGCCAAAATGATCGATCTAAAGGTTTTTTAAAGCTTGAACTATAGTTTCCGATGAGTTATAAAGTAAGGCGTTACTTATTTTGATAGGGATGGTCCCTATCAAACCATTTCCATGTAATGAGAGAAATAACGAGACATAAACTTGAAGGGCGATGACTGATGAATGAGAGAGAGGTCAACTTTTTACCAGTGACTACAATGTTTTAGAATTCAATGATTATTGATCCGGACTATCAGTCTGAATAGAAAATTGGTTGGGACCGAACTAGATCAGAGATAATATGAGTTATGTACTTGTTCCTCCAAACCCTTCCTTGCATATTTTTTACTTTTTTTAAGTTTACCTGATATTTCATTAGGTCCACATAAATCCCCGTCTCATATACCCTTTTTTTATTGTTATTTTGCTTTATTTATTTTTTAATATTATTTGGATTACCTATTTAGACTTATTCAAGCCGATATAGATGTTGCTCTAGCAATTCGATATGGATATGTGGGCTGAATGATCTACCCCACCAATCCGGGTTCCAAAATTTAGCATGTAGATGGGCTTGGGCTTGAAATCCAAGCCTAGTGGTAAGGCATTGTCTGGTCCAATGTGAATGGTCTAGCCTAATCCTAGATGCTTACCCTGGCCATGCTCGTGACATAGGTCATCATCATCATCATAGCCCTTTCTAACTATTTGGGTTCGGCTACACTTGATATGCCATTTGTTCTATCAAGACCCATATCTTCAGTGTGGCCGTAAGTAGCTTTACATTTCTCATTACTTCCAACCAGTGTTTTAAAAAAAGGCGAGTCGAATCGGACTCGCCCGGTTCGACTCCGAAACATGCGTGCCCGTGCCGGTTCCAAACAAAAACCGGGAACCGCCCGGTTCTAGAGTGGAACCGCCGGTTCCCATTCGATTCAGCCCGGTTCACACACGTGCGAGCGTGCCCCACGCACTCACGTGTGTCCAAGCGCACGTGCGAGCGTGCCCCATGCACTCACGTGTGTCCAAGCACACGAAAACGCATGACACGCTCGTGCGAGCGTGCCCCATGCACACTCACACGTGCACACGTGTATCCAAGCGCACGTACGAGTGTGCCCCACACACACTAACACGTGCACAAGTGTGTCAAAGCGCACGTGCGAGCGTGCCCCATGCACTCACGTGTGTCCAAGTGCACGTACGAGCGTGCCCCACGCACTCACGTGTGTCCAAGTGCACGTGCGACCGTACCCCTTGCAACTCACGCGTGTCAAAGTGCACGTGCGACCGTACCCCCCGCAACTCACGCGTACACACATGTGTCTAAGCGCACGTGCCAACGTGCCCCACACACTCACACGTGCGTACGTATTGCCCTAATATTTTTACACACATTTTATAGTTCATATT